GTACAGCATGGCTCAGCATTATCCTGCACCACTCTGCTTCAGAACATATAATTAATTCATTATGTCAATGGAAGACCATTAGTGTACGTCTTGGTGGCTTCACTTGCGTGCGTTGATAAAGGGCATCTATTAGAGGGAACCAAATGCTTAGACAGGCTAGTAAACTATAGCCATGTAATTGGTGACGGTATAATTGCATAGCACACGTAGCAATTAAAGCGATAATATGTGTAAACCATGCTCAAGATTATCATTGGATTAACTACACTTCCCAAATGCCCTTGAGTCTAGAGGCTCACCAGCTGTTACAGGGGAAGTGTTAATAATTATGCGGACGATTTTTAGGGCTGTTGTTTGGAGGGTCTTTTTTTTTTAGCTGCAGGGGAATCAGTTTGTATCTCATTAGAGCTGTTGTGGGGAAAGAGTTCATGTTAATGAACTTTTTCTCTAAGGATACGGGAAGAGAAAACCATAAGCAGCAACACTAAACAGATATTTTCTAAAACGGCCAAATGTGAATCCTAACAATCAAAAATATATGAGATTTGGCATGCCTCAGGGTTGACGAAGGGAAAATAACAGAAGCTGGAATTATTTTGTTCATTTTATGGTCATGAATTATCAATGTAATAATGTAAAGGTCATTTTGATGAATATCATCCTATGTCTATATCTTTTACTTCAGGCGAGACTTGTTTATGTCAACTGATTGAACTTTAATAACAATAAAGAGATATGATTTCTCTCATTTGTGTAATGATTGACATAATTTATATCCAGTGAAGTAATGAGAAGCATAATTCTTATATTTTTGCTTTCCAGTTACATGACAACCGCAGCCAAGACAACTTACTTGCTACCGTTCAGTGCAGCCACTGCAGTGTGATAGCTCAGGGGAATGTGACGTACCCTTGCCCTATAGCAAATAATTGACTTTTTGATTGAACCCTCCTTTGCGCTTCCTTTTAAGGAAAGCCAGGGCAGGTTTCATTTCCCATCATTGCTGCGTGTAAAACGGGAAGCAGCAGGGAAAATCATAGGCAATGTGACGTTTTCTCGGTCACCACCCACAACTGTATCTCATGGTTTGGGGCGAGCCAATGGGGGGTGGGGGGTGGGGGGGAGCAGGCTGGCTGTTTGATACAGTGCTGGCTGGTCAGTGCTGTAGGAGGCTGGCTGATGAACATTATTTTCAGGCTTGTTTATTTCAGTTTGCCTGTGACCATGACTCATTCGATTTTTGGGAAAAAGGGGCAGCTACAGTATTCTACAAGGCAAAACCAAACAAACCAGATATCTCATGATTCTTTTTTGTTTAGGTTTTAACTTCTCATCATAAGTTATGGCCTTAGTGTGGACAGCAGTAACGAGCAGTTCAACCAAAAAGTGATTTTTTTTTTCTTCTTAAGTTACTTGATTTGAAGGATTTTTACAACCGTAATCCTGAAGACATAACAAAGATAACTAGAGAATGGTCAGAAAATATTAATGACATTAAGTGTAATAGAGCAGAACCGATAAGGCATGATTAAATTATTAACCCATCCATCTATGTTTAAATTAATTGTGTTATTAATGTCATATAAGTTAAAAGCTATTTGTAAATTAGGTGCCTTCTTGAAGAGTGTTCTACCTTTGTTTAAGTAACCCTACCTCCTTCCTGCTGGGTAACATTTTTCTGTTTTGATTCTACTGTATATTTTGTTTGCACTCTATTTCATGCCATCATGTTCTTGAGTCAATAAATTTGAATCTTTTCTTCTCCTGTCTCTGTTTTATTAGGCAGCTGTAGATGTCCAACAACAGTCTGTCAACACACGTAACTTGTTAAAGATGAGATTATCTTTCTCTCATTTGCCTAATATATTCAGAATAATAAGAGGTAGTGGCATTGTGTCCCAAATTTGTATTCTGGAAGAATACCAGTCACCAATTATACAGAGTTATGCTAATTACCCACTTGACTGGATCACATATTACCAATATTAAGAGCCATTAATTCAGTAGAAGCAAAGAGGCCAATTATCATGTTACAAAACTGTGATGGACGTGAAGGCATATTCAGAATAAAAGCATATAAATGAAATGAAAAAAACATCATGTAGCCAACATAAAAGAAACATCCACTGTGCAACATCAGGCCAGTTTAGTCTGTTGTTTCAGTGCAGTCGCTGTCCATGGTGCTGATCAGAGGTTATAAAGTCCTAATACAAAAAGTACCTAATGCATTTACTTATTTAACCTGTGACTATGAATGGGAATAAAAAGATGTTGAAAATGGTGGTAAATTGGATTAAATTGTTTAGCTATAGCAGGTTTTTAGTAAGTTTTTAATCTTACAATCTAATTATTCTGAAGCAAATGAAAACAAACTGTATTTTTATTGACCTAAATGAACCTGTTTAAAACACACACTGCAATAAACTGGCATTATTTATGTAGTTATTGTTATTATAAGTGATTTAAACTGATTCTATAAACGTTTTGTTTTTTCAGCAAGTGAAACTGTAACTGAAGCAACTTTCTCTCCCTATTGGCAGTTTTTAGCTTTTAAAGCTCAATACAAGACTAAAAGGTTAAACAACCTCTGCACAACACTGTGGCCACTTTGACACGTAAAAAAACAACAACTACGAACCCACCAAACTTTTCAAATTACATATAAGTGATTTGTTTAGAGCAAATCAAAGGCGAGATGTTATGTTATGTTATTACAACAAGTAGATGGACCATGGGCGTCTTTTTCAGGAGAAACCCTACACCCTAACCCTCTCAGGAAAATGGAAGCCCCTCTCAAATCAATGTTTATCGATTTCATTAGGCTGAAATAAAGAGTTTGTTGTGAGCTGATGATGTGCGACCCAGAACCCCAAGACCGAGAAGCTCTGCAGAATGATTGACCAACAGCGCCACCTGGCTGTTGTAAATATAAACCCTACAACGCACCAAATGTTCTCCGACTAGATTTAACTGATTCAAATATTGAGACCTTGAAAGGCTCTCAGTTATCCCGAAACAACTGACATTGCATTTTTTAAAACTCATAGCATCTGTCCGTGCGTTACTGCTAGTGCAATATGTGCACACAATTTGCAATTCACACAGAACAGGATTTCCATCATCGGAGGTCTGAATGATGCCCTGCAGGAAAAATAGATTCTGCAATCATAGTTCAGAAACCTACCTTTGGCAGGCTCGGTGTTGGCCGTTTGGCTTCCACTGGTGGGTCGGTTTGCGAATGAAGAAAGAACAGATTTCCACACGAGAAAAACCCTGAAAGACGTGGTGCCTCCGTTTAGTCCGAGTACTACAGGGGTCCCATATGGTTAATTACCTTGTCAATAAACCTTGAAGGGGATACCGCGAGAACGGGAGCTGAGGGTGAGAGCTGAGTCTGACCTTAATAATCGCATCCCTGTTCCAATGTTGTGATTCATATTTGACCGTACTGTTTACCAACTCTTAACTAAAGACAACGAAGCCTTAACAGAATCTTAAATCTTGACAAAAACATACAAGGTCTCACAGATGTGATCTCAAATCATAAATAGAAAAAAAATCTAATTTTTCACAGTATGTACAGCATTTTACATACATGAAACGAAATTTGTCCTCTGTATTTGGCCCATCCTATATACTTTACTATATACATTTGGAGCAGTGAGCAGCCGTAGGCGCCCGGGGAACAGTTAGGGGTTAGGTGCCTTGCTCAAGGGCACCTTGGCAGTGCACAGGAGGTGGAACTGGCACCTCTCCAGATGCCAGTCCACACTCACACTCTATACTGTGGTCCATGCTGGACTTGAACGGGCGGCCATCTGGTTCCCAAGCCAAGTCCCCACAGACTGAGCTACTGCGGCCCCAAATCATTGTTCTGGTCTATATTTATGTAAGCATCTACTCCCAAATTGTGATCATCAAGGACCATTTTTGTGGTTTTTAGTAATTGTGCATTACTTAAATCTATTTGGGACTACAGGGTAGAAGCAATATCTGTCTATGTAGCTTTGATACACAGTGTTGGATTAACTTGCCAGTGGGCCCTGAGGCGAATAGCTGTAGGGTCCTCTGAAATTAAAACAAATTGCCATAATGAACCTGGGGTCTTTAGGGCCTCTGAGGGGTCAGGGGCCCTGGGGCTATTGTATTTTTTTTTTTAAATATATGATATGTAACTCTAGAAATCCCACTAGGATTTAATTTAGTTTGAGTTTGTATTCATTCCTGTTCAAAGTGTTCTTTGTTTGGTATTATAGAAAGGTAAAAATACTGTAGCTACAGTACTGCAGTGGTGGAAGAAGTACTAGATCTTTTACTTACTAAGTAAAAGTGGCAATGTCACAGTGTAAAAACACTCAATTACACTAAAGTAAAAGTATTAATATAAAAATATACTTAAAACACCAAAAGTAAAAGCACTCAATACGGGATGGCTCTTTTCAGAACAATGTATATAATATCACTGGATTATAATTAGTTGTGTATTTATATGTAAGCTTCACTGATGTTGCAGCTACTAAAGATGGTTTCAGCTACTTTATATTGTCAGGTATTTTAATCCATAATAATACAACACGATTTAAATTCTGAATCAATAATCTGAATCTGAAAAGTAGCTCAACCCATGTCAAATAAATGTAGTGGAGGAATAAGCGAAATACTTGCATCCAAAATGCCGTGTACTGTTAGTAAGTATAAAGTAGCATCAAATGGAAATACGCATCTCAAAATTATACTTAAATAGTACTTGAGTAGATGTACTTAGTTACATTCCTCCACTGCTGTACTGTATAAATGTCAAACAGCGCCCCCTGCTGTCGCAAAAGTTCCGTTTGCATTAAAATTCACTCTGATCTCTCAAATGTATATCACAGATAAGATTTCCAGCTTCAGTTCAGTTATATAATTATTATTATTATAAAGACTTTTAAAGTAGGCAATCTATAAAAATACAAAAAAAACCCACATGTTTTCCCCGGTTCACAAAACAGGCGCACCACATCCGGTCCGACTGCCAAATGTGTCCGCCACCCGCGCCTCTCGTGTAAAGTCGCGTTTAAATGTGGTGTGTACGTACGATAGCACGCAATTTAACAAAACCCGCGTCTCAAACAAACCCAAACAACCCAGGCAGTGTTTTACGCCTGTTGCATTCACACACCAGCCGCCGCCGTTTACTCTCCGCAGACGTTACTGACACAGAAAGTAGATCCATGTCCACTCAGCCCAAGAGGCTCTGCACTGAAAACATGTCTGTTCAAAAGATCGGAACTCACAACGGCACCTTTCATTGTGATGAAGTGCTGGCCTGTTTCTTCCTCCGCCAGCTGCCCGAGTACGAGGTAGGTTCAGTATGCTGTGGTTGTGGAGGGAACCCCGTATTGTTCCCGTATTGTTCCCGTACTGCTGCTGTTTATGTCTGTGTCGTTACTACTTCAGAGTAAAACCCTTGTTGTTGTGATTTGAAGGTGTTTTGTTCAGTCTGAATCGGCTGATTTTTATTAGGATTTTGTTTTGGGCAGAAGCTTTTATTTTTCTCTCCTGTCGCTGATCCCATGTCATGTTATAATACTCCAAGTGGGGGTGCTGCTGTACAGATAAACGGAGCTCTCAAAAGATGGCATGAACACCTGTAATAGTTCTAGTATAATTATACATTTTACATTTTAGGAGACAATACAGTGTCAAAGGGTCAGTCAAATAAACACCTTCCATGCCTTATAATCTTGTTTCCACATTCCTTTTTAGGGGTATATTTACTTTTTAAAGTGACTTATTGTCTGGAAAGTACTTCACACCTCATAACGTTGATAGTCATAATTATAACACCAATTGAGAAATCAACCCATTTAACATGAATGAGATTCTCAGTATTTGTTTCTGTAATGGATCAATCCTTGTCCCAAGTGTAAACAAAGTTGTAGCCCCACCGCCAAACTTAAAACATCATAATAATCACAAGATATTTAATATCATATAATGATACTGATTGATATATCTCTCAATACAGCTACATTTATTGACAGTGAATTGAGAAATTGTTGGGAAATCTAGTTAAATAAATTCTTTATAAATCAAGGTACTTTATTAAGAGAGATAGCAAACATAAAGATAAACTAAGAAGCAGATTTAATGCTTATTATTCATCTAAAAAAAAAATTACATGCAGTTTATGTGGTCATAAATTACAGATTGTGCCCATTAGAGCTCTTGCTGCAAGCCAGCTTCTAGTGGGTCCAGTTTTATAATAATGGTATTCAGAGAACTGATTAAAATGCACTTGGCTCTTGGACATAAACACTTCAGAACACTTGAATGAAGCTCATACGTAAAATTAGCATCCAAATCTATCAGATGATAGATGATTGCAGCTCTACAAAACCTTCTGTTCATTGCACAGGATGCAGAGATCATTCGGACCAGGGACCCGACAAAGCTGGCACAGTGTGACATCGTTGTAGATGTGGGAGGAGAGTTTGACCCCAAGAGGCATCGCTATGACCACCATCAGAGGTAAGATTTTAGTTATCAAAGAGAGGATGTTTATTAAGTTTTCAGTAAATGTTTGGAATGACCAGAAAATATATAAATGTTTGTTGTGCATCACCTCTCATGGTAATGATATTGTGGGTTTATTTTGATATGGCAAATTATGATACAGTGTTTTTTTTAAAAAAGTACTAAATTAATATTATAAAGCAATTACTATAATTTTTCAGAGTTATTTTGAGAAAGCCTGCTCAAAGTGACAGTTCATGTTTAACTTTAAATCACCATGTAGTCCAGTGTGGTGGACACCAGCCAAAGAACTCGGTTAGTTTCTTTACATAAACAGATATAAATCAGGAAGGTGTACTAATTATCATGTTTTTTTTTTTAAATTCAAATCACTCAACATGTAAATGATACTAAAAGATGTTTTTAGTGATGGAAAAAATACCCAGTCACTGTAAAATAGGCCACAGTAGGCCTCTTTCATGTCAGACATTTTGACATGTCACAGCTGCAAAGCCACAGGGGTAACTAATATTACTAACACTTGTTCCCTTTAGATGTGCCAGTAATGTCATTGAACCAGGCACCGTGAGAGATGTTATTGGTCAGTATTAGTTTAGTGCGGCTATATCTGCATCAGATGGAGCTGAAACAGTTAGTGGATTTAATTTGATAAGTCAATTGATGTAACATTTATCTGTAAGTATATTGTAATTTTTAAACTAAAATGCCAAAGAGTATTTCTTTCCAGCCATTCAAATATGTGGATATACTGCTTTCTCTGTTTTTGTATAATTGCAAACAGACAAACATTTTTTTTTTTTTTTACTAATTTCTGGCATTTTATACACAAAACAATTAATCAAAAAAATAAACAGCATTATTGTTTTCATTCATCTGTAATGAAAACAATGAAAACTTCTGAAACTGTCACCTTGGCTTTGGGGAATTTTTAAAAACTTTTTTACAAGTCGATCCATTGAGAAAATCTGTCTAGTTTTTTAAGTGTAAGGAATCATATTTCATTATGTGAGGTCTGAGAGAGTGTATCTCTCTGCGGCTTCTGTTCTGATACTGTTGAAGCGACCTAATTGCATGAATCACGAAGGAACAGGCTCTGTGTTTTCTGCAAAATTTCCTGCCAAAGTTCCTTCCGAATGATTGCATTCACTCGAAGTCTCATCACGTTGAGTAATCAGCCTATTCCAGATGTCTTGTCAGCTTAATGTCCCGATGATAATCAGAGATAGCTTTTATGACCACGGTGATAAAGATATGCCAGGGCTCTCTTCCTGGCAGGTGGTTAGTGATAATTAGCACTCCTTCAATTGGATGCCCCCCTGCTGTTGGTTCACGAGGCACAGAGGCTGCCACGACACTGTGAGGGGCCGCAGGAGAATGTGGCTGTCACTCACATGCGCGGATGGGGGAAAGATGGTTGTGATGGCAGGGATGGATGTAAGTGGGCTTGGGGTGCTTGAGGAAGTTGGAGAAGGGGCTGACAAGAACAATTAGTCCTCATTTCAATAGCACCTTTTTAAAACTGTGACACTGTACAGATGAAGTTGACAGCAGTAACCAATACATCACAGTAAGAATATTGAAATAAGAGTGTCAAATTAAGCCATTAAAGACGTAGTTCAGCATTTGGAAAAATACGCTTATTTGCTTTACTGTCAAGAGTTGGAGAAGATTGATTCCACTCTTATACCTGTATGTTTAATATGAAACTGGATCCAGCAGTAAGTTAACTTAGCTTAGCGTATATAGACTGGAAACAGGGGGGAACAGTTAGCCTGGCTCTGGCTCAAAGGTAACAAAATATGCCCACTAGCTCACTAATCAACACGCTGTATCTTGTTTGATTAATCTGTACAAAATCAAAGTGTAAAAACGCCAATTTACCACTGGACTATTACATGGCTGGACTTTGTAGAGTCTTGTTGTCACTGTGAGGTTGCCAGGCAACCTGCTGAGACCCCACGAAGGAACAGGTTGCTGTATATGTATGTATGTTTGTTAATATACAGAATATTCAGCAGCTTTGTGTGTGCACTGTGTATTTGAAATATATAGTGTCTGATTGTGTCTGACAATATGTGACTGATATTAACTGTTCATCATAGAGATGGCATGAGGAAAGAACATGTTTTTGTTCTTGTGTCTGGTTGTCTTGGTGTACAGAGATCTCTAGCGCCTACCAGTGGGGGGAAGTTGTAACAGGTTTAAGGTGTGATGGGTGTGCAGTGATGTTTTCTGCCTATTTCCTGCCTCTGGATATGTATAAGTCCTGAATGAAGAGAGGGCCGGTTGGCACCAGTGATTATTTATCCAAAATTATGCCAAAATTATCATTCCCACATAATTGTCGATTGTCTGTCAAAAGAATCACAATATGATGTTTTTACCATATGGTGCAACCCTACTAATATAGACTGACTGCTGACTACAAATTATTTCCCTTTATTGAAGCCTAAAGACAAAAAGAACATTAGTGAATTTTGTTTTTTTCTTTAAGATGGCGTCTAATGTGAGAAACTTCTGCATATATGGAAAAATGTTATCTTTGAAGTTTCTTTTGCAGAGATGGAAATAGAGTTGGAAGCATGAGAAATGTTCTCTAAACACCGACCAAAGGTTAATAAAGCAAAACAGATTAGATCCGCCAGGGATTACTTTTGTGGTTGCTCACACTAGAACTGCATTCACGGCTCCCACTCAGCAAAGAAATAAAAGTAAGCAAAAATATTTTTGCTACTGTGACAAAGTGATGAATGTTGTCTGCATTTTGCAGAGAAATCTAATAGATAAACTGCTTTTATGCAGTTTTGTATTGTGACGCAGTTTAAGATGCTTCCGCTGGCTGTATGCTACTTGCAAACCAGCAAAGACAGATTCATGGACACAGCAGGCTTCCCACTTCCCCTCTATTCAACAAATAGCTATAATGAATAATACACAATTACAACTTGTATGTATCTCAATAGTAACTCATGTGTGCACAATAAATGTAAAAATAAATGCAGGCATTGACAATTCCTCTCTTAAATCTGTCCAAATGTTTAATGTTATCCCTAATCTGGCAGCACTGTGTTACATATATTAAATTGTTCTCAAATGTTATGAATCCAGTAGAAAGGTACAAGCTAAATCAGGGATGACTTGGAGGTCATTACAGTTTCTATAAGACCATTTAGTCTACTCTACAGTACTGAAGGTCACAGTGATATCTGAATGAATTAAAGAGGAACATCCCCTACCATCTGCCTCTCAAAGGAGGACATGACTAACCAGATTGGAATTTCTCAATCCAGTTTGGAATTTATTTGTTAAAATATATTTGTCAGACTGAAGAGTTTCTTTATAAACCACAGGAAATACTGTTGTAAGGAGATGGGTCAGTCAGGGGTTGGACTGTTGAATGGCTCTCCAGTAGTTAGAGAGGCACTGACATTACAGTGACATTGGCCTTTTATTGTGTGAAAATGTTAACGTTTAAAGCTCTTGAAAGCCCACACAGTGCTCTAATACAACAGTCTGTATCTGTCCTATCACTCTAATGGAGTACTGGGCTCAGAGTAATGGGAAATGACTGGCCAGTAATATTGTTTTTTAAAAAGTGCTTTAGTTTCTTAAGATGCTTCGAGTAGAGGAAAGATTCATGAAGCATAATTTTCCACACACAGTAAATACTAATGCAATAAAACCATTATTTTTAATGATTTAGAGTGATGAGCAAAAGTGGTTCATCTGGGGCAGTGTGGGAATAGTAGTACATCATATGTTGAGTATGTGCTTTGTAATACTAAAATGTGTGTATTAAATTCTAGTTTACTGGGAGAAGTAACTTGATTTCACACAAACAGTTTGATGACTTCTCTTTGGGTTAGCATGTCTTTTTCAGCCGTTTCACTCACTCAGTCATTTTCCTCTCGCCCATTCACTTCCATCTCCTGATAATCAGCATAGAAATGCCTCAGCTTGGCCAATTAGCCCTTTTAATGGCTGTGATTACCCCCTGCTTCCCTAGCATGTCACTCATTCATTTGACGGTCTGTTTTCCGCTGTGCTGCAGCCCAAGCATCCTAATTAAGCCTGAATTAAATGACCAGCAGTGGCTCAGTGCTGGAGCCCACCCATCCCAGCACGTGGCTGAGGAGAGACCTCCGGTGGCTTTTATTTATGTGCTCACGCTTACAAACACACTGGAGCATGCTTTCTCTCTCCGGTCAATGCAAACCCGCTTTCTGAGGATGAAGAGAATATTTATGGATGCAAGGTTCTTTTATTGATATCTGATACACTGCCAGTAATGTACAGTAATCATCTGAATGCAGCAGACATTTTATTGAAGAGGCCAGTTATTGGAAAAAATGTTTGTTTATGAGCAGAACACTAATGTTTAATCTCCCAATCCTCTGCTTTAGTATTGAACACTGGATATCATCTGCCTACAGACCATCAAGCGTTTTTCAGCTCTTAGCATTGATATAAGCTGATTTTCATTTCCTTAATATCTTACATGCCTTTTGTTGCAATACTGGAATACTGCAAATGTCAGCAAACAAGTTGATCTCTTCAGCTCATAATTTAATAACATTTTCCTTACACACGCAAAGAAACCTACAGTCATTTATTTCACTAATTCACTCCTTCTGACCAGCAGTCAATAACTCACAGATATTCGGTTTACAGTGATATTAAACAGAAAAAAAGCAGCAAATCATCACAATTAAGAAGCAGGAATTAGGGAGTTCTTGGATTTTCAAATAAAAATGTCAGAATAATAGTCGCTTGACATAATCGACTGATAATTGCAGCTCTGACTAGGGCTCCACAAGTAATTGAAATATTATCGAAATCACAATATGGACAGGTGGAATATATAAATCTCAGAAGCTACAATTTTCTGATAAAGGTAAAATGTGTGATGAGTTTGACATTTTTTGAGATACAAAAATGATCATTCCCACACTAATTGAGAGTCATATCACATTGCTATCAATCTGTCAAAATAATCGCAATATGATTTTTTTTTTTTTTTTTACCATATTGTGCAGCCCTAGTTCTGACTCTAGATATTATTTTACTATAGATTATCTATTGATTATTATTATTTTACATTAAGTTCCCACAGCCACTAAATATCTTTAAAATGTATTCAAGTATTCAATTTACATTGAGATGAAGTGTGTTGAGATGTCATTTCTGAATGTCTTCCCTTTGTTTAGGACCTTTACAGAGAGCTTCCATAGCCTGTGTCCAGAGAAGCCATGGGTGACCAAGCTCAGCTCAGCTGGCTTGGTGTACCTACACTTCGGTCGTCAGCTGCTGGCCCAGCTGACGCAGCTGAAGGAGGGTGACAAGCAGCTGGAGATGCTCTTTGACAAGGTGAGAGGGTGAAGACGATATTTATTGCAGGCAATGCATTAGCAACCATTGTGTTTCATTCACAACACAAACAGATGTATCACCTGAGCAGCCTAAACACTGTCAATTTCAGAAACGTCTATTAAGATGTAAAGAGGAAAGCTAGCTCATCACTTACTTGGGTAAATTAGTTACAATAGAATTACACTTATCTCCATGTTGGTTGCTTTAAAGTGTTGCTTTCACGCAATAAAATGCTGAATGCTTATTGTTAAAGTTTATTTTATGGGCATTTTGCCTTAATCAGACAGTTGGCAGACAAGTGTGTTTAGAAATAAAGGGAGAGAGAGAGAGAGGGATGTGGCAAAGTTCCTCTGCCAAATTCAAACTGAGGACACTGCAGTTATATTTAGACAGCCAGACCAGCAGGAGGCCTCGGCACACAGAGCAGTTTTGATGGCTAGGCCCATTAAGCCGGCCAATAAATATTAGCCCTATTAACTCATATTATCATTGGCCTTTTGATGTGTCAGTTTATGTAAAGCCCCAAGTAATCCTTTTACTCATGGCGCGGGCTTTATTTATTTTAGGATGTAGTATGTCTCGTCTTCTGGCACTCCAGACAACTGAACCTCTATTTTTGCCCCAAAACTTAGTTCCAGTTGTAAGCCACTTGTAAAATGTCAACTCTTTGGTGATTGACCTTCCGGTGTACTGAGGAGTTGACTTTCCAGCACTAAATATTCCTCTTCTCTCTCTCTCTCTCTCTCTCTCTCTCTCTCTCTCTCTCTCTCCCCCCTCTCTTTATTTTTTCCAGTTTTCCTAGTGAACTGTAAAATAGCAGCAATTTGTCTTTTCCTTTTGGTTTAATGACATAGCCGTGCTTTAAGCCTTCGGTAACTGCCCACACACTGTGACCAAGTGTACTTCAATCAGAATACTGTTATCCCAGTACATTACTTCCCCTTTTACCGACAATTCTTCCTTTTCAGAATGAGCACAAACGGCTGATTCCTGTATCATTACACTTTCACAACCTTTCTGTCACACATCTCTCTCAATTCCTTGCAGCTGTACGAGAACTTTGTGGAGGAAGTAGATGCTATAGACAACGGCATTTCACAGTTTGACGGAGAGGCCCGCTACTCCATCTCCACCACGCTGAGCGCACGTGTCAGCCACCTGAACCCATGCTGGAACAGCAAGAGTCAGGACACTGAGGTGATGGACTGCACGAGTGTGAATGTCTACACACACTGCAGCACGTTTATATATCAGGCAGATGAGACGGAAAAGTTGATCTTTTAAACTAAAGATCACTAATTATGTTTTGTGTGTGGGTCCGTATCTGGGGTGTAATAATATTAAAACAGAGCGTGTTTTTTGTGTTTTTCAGTTTTAATTTAAAGACCAATTGACTTCACAAGAAACTAAACATTAGTTGCAAACTGCGGATATTTTCAAGGTCAGGTTTGGATTTTAGGATTACAGGGTTTGGTTTAGTGGAGAGGTGTAATGTGAGGAAATGGTTGTATCCAGTGAATGTCTTCATTTGCATTAATCAGACAAATGTAGCAGTATCGCAAGGTGTAACAACACATTTCATTTTAAGGAGGTGTGAAAAGTGTGTTTGTCGCCAAATAAACAGGATATATCAGGATATCCTGAATCACAGCATGGCAAAGTCAATTATCTTTGGTTGCATGTTTGTGTCTCACGGTGCTCTGTGAATATAGTATAATAAGTACAATGTTTGTTCAGTCATTGGCTGGATTTCTACTGTATGACTTGTGGACACACTAAGTATTACTGTGTGGACATTATTATATCTATTGAAGGGAAAACCGTGCCAACTTGCAAAGTGACAACCAAATGACTCCCAGCACATAAAGAGACATTGTGTCTCCTTCTCTATTTGCTCTGTTGAGAACAAATGTACATTTAACATCCCTGGAGGGTTTTTTTTTGTAAGAATTTATTTATTTGTGGGACTTCAACACACCTTGAATCCAAGGGATAACAAGTTGAAGTGAGGACACATCTTTCTAAGGCTGCAACTAACAACTGTTAGTCTTATCAACTGTTATCCAACACTCCAAACAGCCAAAGATACTGAGGTACCCTTGTATAAGCTGAAAAAGAAGAGCATATCCTCACATTGGAAAGGTTGGGACTGGGTATATTTGGCATTTCTGCTTGAAAAATTACTTTCTGATTCATTTTCTGTCAATTGGCTAATCTCTTAATCCACTGATTTTGTTTTCCAGCCCTACTTATATTTAACATTGTCCCCGACGGAAAAATGTCTTCAAAACCCAAACTAGATCAGTACAAACTAATCCAAAAATGAATATCCACCTCAAAATACAACAACTAAACAATATCTAAATGAATGAGTGAGATGATGAGTTTTTCTAGTTTATGATGACTCAGCAACTTGTAACCTGCATTAACCCTGACCTGACCGCCCGGAAGTCCTTTTTGTTTTCGACACCTTGATATTTAACTGAAGGCTGCTCCACAGTTTGGTCCTCCATTGTTAAATAGGGCTTTTGGCGACATAATCTAATGATAATCACGCACAATGGGCAACCTGGTGAAACAAAGATGAGTTAAGTTATGTTGAGGGAAACTCAACAGGTGCACTGCAGCGCAGTCAGTGTTCAGAGGTTAATTTTAATGCCGTGTAGAAACATGCCTCTCATTAGTGCAGGAGGGGAATACCTGCAGGGAAAGGGCACCTGTTTTCTACAGACTCCCACGAGACAACTGCAGCCTGGCTTTGCATATTTGTTGACAATGCCACCATTTTTTTCCCATCGTTGGGGCTGTCTCAGTGGAGTAGCTGGCCTATTTGTTTTTTCACATTTCAGTTCACATGATTATAATTCTTGTCCTGGCACTTTCCTCCACTTTCCCCACTAGCTCACACTGCGAGGCAAGACGGCTCTGGGAGATCAGAAAGTGTGAAAGATTTGTATTAAAAAATGTTTGGCAGACAGCTTGATAGCAAACTGACCTGGTGAACTCTCAACAGTGGCTGTTTGTGATAATTGAAAAACCTAATGGATTTTCTGTTCCTCCTTCTTGTGCTCTCTTGAGTTTTTGCTCACGAGACTATGAGAGAGTGAGGCCAGGCTGGGGTTTGTGCCTTACATGACGGGGAGCTGATGATCACCCCCATTGTATTTCACATCAAACTCTATTGGAATTCAGAGGTGGTGTAGTATTGACGAAAGATGTGAATTACCATGAACGATTCTGAGCAGTCAGACTCGTCAGTTGTCTACCTTCATTATATGATACAGTATTACTCTCATATTCTTACACTGTATGTGACAGTAACATGTATTTGTACACATGTTTTTACTAGGAGGGTTTCAAAAAGGCTATGAAGATGGTTGGGGAGGAGTTCCTGGACCGTCTGGAGTTCTACCAGTCCTCCTGGCTGCCGGCTCGCACAGTGGTGGAGGACGCTGTTAAGGAGAGGCATCAGGTATAAGACTGCACAAGCTAATGTGTACATTTTTGTTCTGTTGTCCTTTGTAATCATTGTAACTTGGCACAGGGTCCTTGATTGTCCATCGCTCACCTCAACAATATATGCGTTTCTCTTTTTCTCTCAAATTTCCCCTTATGTTAAATCATTTATATCGTGTAAACTGGGTATTGTGATGTACAGTATTGATGTATTGGTAATACAACAAATAATACCAACCATCTCTAAATAACTGTTGGTCCATCATCTATAATAGAAGGGGGGATTTCCAACAAATCCTTACTCACATCCTTTGTGTTGCTCTCAATGAATTGGGAGATAAATGGTGAAATTGCAGTTTAGTATGGAGCCAAAACAGAGCCTTTAGCTTTTGACTTTGAAAAACTTCTATTATCTTTTTAAAAACTATTTGATTTATTTATTGCATTTCCAAAGACAGTCTGGTGGGGTTTTTTTTCTTTTCTGTTTTGTTGGAGGGAAGGGATTTGAGGGGGCTGCATGGTTTCCATATTTGGTCCCTGTGTTGTTTTTCCCAGGGGGAACGTTTTCCAATATTTTTTTTGTTTTCATTTTGTATTTCAATGACAAATTGTATTTTTTCGGTGCCAAAAACTAAAGACTCTGTTCTGGCTCCATATTTTAGCTCTAATTAGATCACATCCTCTAGTATTATTTATAATCTTGCTGATAAACTTAATCATAAAGTTTTCAAATTCAAGCACTTATTATCTTCTCTTTGTCCTTATTTTTTAAAACATATCTTAAAATTTTCAGAAAACTCTCTACTAAAGCTGAAGGTCTCCACTTTTTGTGAATATTCGCATTAGTAACACCCAGTTTACTGCTTCTCCTCCCATTTCCAGGTAGATCCCAGTGGGGAGGTGGTGTTGTTCTCCCAGGGTGGTTGTCCCTGGAAGGAGCATCTGTTTACCCTGGAGAAAGAGCTCCAGGTGGAGACACCCATCAAGTTTATCCTTTACCCCGACCAGAATGGACAGTGGAGGGTCCAGTGCGTCCCCGCCGGGCTGAACACCTTCCAGAACAGGTGCGAGTTCACCCAAAGTCCATTTTTAGATACATTTTATTCAAGGTTATTTAAATGGAATTTCTGCTTCATGGTCTCAGCTTGTGATCTCATGTGCAGAGAGAAAACCTTGCATGAGTTACCTTAGCAGATATCAAACATGCAGAACTCACAAGGATGTTGTGACACTGACTCTCTCTCTCTCTCTCTCTCTCACACACACACACACACACACACACACACACACACACACACACACACACACACACACACACACACACACACGAAATTCAGGATTTTTTTTTTTAAATGTTGGTGGAAAACACAGTGACAGGCACAGATCTGGAGTCTCCCAGACGTGTTGAATTGAGTTGAGCTCTGGTGACGGAGACGAGCCATGGTGTATGATTTAACTTTCATGCTTATCGGACCATTTGACAACTACTCGCGGAGGGTTTGACGTGTCATCCAGTGAGAGACTAACTCCTGCTTGGATGGAAGGACTTGTTTGTAGGATGAGGATGATCCTTTAGGTAAGGCAGAGGTTTTGTTCTCACATTGCTCTCTAAGGAGCTGAGAGGATGTAAACAGTCCCGACACCTGAGGCCTTTCTCCATGCCCACCCCTCAGTCAGGTGTTTCCTTTTTGTTTTCCTAGTGTTAATTACACCCTCTGCTCCAAATACAGGAAGCAGGAAGATATACAGTACATGCTGATTGTGACAGCTTTTATTTACAGCCACTTACTTAAACATACTCCAGGATTTTTATGAAGGTGAATAGAATGTGACTTTCATGCTCTATTGACCAACAGGGTATTTTTGAATACACACCATTGTCTCCTCGTAACCAGTACTGGGCAGTATGACCAAATATTTCTGTCACCATTGTGCATGCTGCTGTTGTTGCGGAGCATTTCTGCATCTTTTATCAATAATGAAGCCCCTCAAACCTTCAAGCCCGACACTTCAGATGATCATTAGATCGCATTGCTATTATTGTCGTGTCACTCTCTACATAATGACAGTGATGACAAGACAAAGATATAGCATGTCAGTTTGTCAGATGATTAACACACTCAAGTTTGTGTTTGTTGCCTCTGGAGGGTAATTGTTTATCTGAGGTGCGTCACATACTCTAACCCACAATGCCTCTCTATTAACGTCATCAGCAACACCACTGGAGTCTTATACTTGTTTCACTACTGCCCTAAATCCCAGCATACAGCACACATGATCAGTGTATGGAAACATGCTCCCTGCTTATCATGAAAGACACATTTTCAGTTTCATCTGTCACCACATACTGACTGAACATTAGCTATTACATAGAATGCCTCATTTTGTATTTGTGACAGGAGACCTCTCCAGCAGCCATGCGGCTTCCTCAATGTTTTTTCATGCTGGATTTGGTTGTCATGCTCCTAAGGTTAATGACTTGTGCCGTGATATTGATCCCTGCTCTTCAAAGTGGTAGCAGTGAGTCTTCACCATGTGTACTACTAGTGAGTTGTGCTTTTCAAATGAAGAGGCAGCAGGCTTCTCATTTATAGCCTCATTCTCATAGATTGTCACTGTTTAAGATAAAACAACATCACCAGCAACACATTAGATTAGCTGTAGCTAATTAACATTAATTCGGTAACAGCTAAAATAAAATGTTTGGATCTTCTGGTTAATATGCTCTGTGCAGCTGGTGTCTTTGTTTACAAGGATTGTTTGTGAGTGACAAGACTCATCACTCTATAATGCTCTGTAGAGTGGCAACTCCTCTCTTAAATATATTTAATTAACATTTCATGTTACGGTGCTCATCATATTTTAAGGTTGTAGTTAATCAGATTGTGACCATGAATTAGTCTGCTAATAAAAACTGTTGTGCTTCCTCCTTTCTCGGCCAACAAAAGGTAATCAGACATTTTTGAGTTGTAGTTATTTTTACTTTTTAGTTGAAAGTGTTGAAGGGTAAAATCAAATAACATTCGAGAAAGGAATTTGAAAGGACTCCAATTTGATAAGTGGATTAGATGCTGGATTTAAATTTGATAAAGTGCCATCAAACCCTGTCCTTAGCATTGCGATACCCGAGATTGGAAATTGAAGCTCTTAATGGAGATAATACTTCAGGGGATGAGGAAGGAGTTGACTGCTAATGCAAACCGAGAAAGTAACATGTTGCCTGTGGATCAACTAATGAAGTTGGTCAGACTCAGTTTTTTATGTGTTCATATGAAAAATTTAAATGCACTTTATTTTGCCTCCATCTTTAGTCACACAGACAACTTACTGTCATTTCACTCCACCTATTCACATAGGCCTATATTATCATAAAAGAATCTGCCAAATGTTTCCACATAATACATTCAGGAATAGTTCAGGGTCATTCTGTTCTGTAGAAAATTATATTGGCTTTTGCACAAAACAAAATTAAATTTCATCTGATTGTCTGACATTTTCACTCTTATGTTATTTCCCCTGGAGCACAAATCATGCAGCTTTCAATCACATTTCTTTGCATGAGTAATTATTATTATGACTTCTATTTTATGTATTTATCCGAACCCCCCATCTAAATGATTTTAGAGAGCAATTTTCCCTCATGGCGAAGCAAGGTGCAATCCAGATTCAATCCTGAGGGAAAGTTTAATAGGAAATGTAATGGTTTATATAAAAGACAGCTTCGTTAACAGGTGTGAAAGAGAAGATAATTTTGTTTACACCTGTGACAAGCTGGGACATTTTCTTTATGATTTCTAGTCCTTGGATTGATTTAAGTGATACAAGTCTAACTTTTATCCTTGAAAATTAGCTTAACCTAACCTTGTTACACAACATTTTTACTCAGTCTTATAGTTTGTGTACTAACAATGACAAATAAATTCAATTTCCTGTGACTGCTTCAGAATAAAGGCCACTCTGTTGCAGAAGTAGTAAGTGTTCAGTTAGCCTTAGCAGCTCTGATACAGCATTACAAGAGAGAACAGTAAACTGTGAGGCTTTTTGATGAAATTATAAATGTAAACATGGGATTGCATTCATGTATTGTTTCTCATGAATTTCTTATGCAATTTTAATCTGGCACTAGAATGGCGGACTCCGCCAATGACTACTGTGTTGCTCTTCATTTTTGTTTTGTGGAATTTTCCCTATTCGAACCAAGTTGTCATATATTGAGATAAATTTGTTATTTTGGTGTGTGACATCTCAGATATACCTCATGCCAGGCTTAAGACCTGCAGATGGTCTCTAACCCTCCTCCACCTGACCACCATGCTCTTTAAATGTCTTGTTACCCCCCGACAGTATGTATGTGCTGTTATGCTATTATCCTGTGTTTGACACGTCTCATAATTGATACACTGTGGCTTGCCCAAAGACACAGGAAGAGGGTGGAATTGCTTTTTGACTGCCTTCTATTTTCACCTCTTTCCATGTGGTCATCTTGCTCTTGGCTCTCCCATTAATGTTTCTTTTCTGCCTCTCTGTCTCTCTCAATGTCTCTTTCTCTTATTTACAGTACTTCGGTCTCTGTCCTATAATCATCCTCTTCCATTTCATCACCTTTCTTCCTATCTGTCTTGCTTTCTTCCCCATTAATCCTATTTCTCCCCTGTCATCCACCTTCTCCCCTATCTCGCTGTCTCACCTTTCACACCTTCTGCCCCTCCCTCGCCTCATCCCTCCGCTATACTTTTTTCCAGTCTGCTGCCGAATCTCATCAGGCGGCAGCGCTTTCAACTAAAAAGGCAGGCACCTGCTTGTGGTCGCAGAGCACTTCAAAGATTTAATTTAATGCAAACATAGCAGTTGGTGTGAGGCTACATCAGAACAATGGCTTGTGAGGTGGATAAAAAAAAAACATATATCCAGATGGCTCTTTCTCTGGGTGGCCTGCTTCTTCCCAGTGGGCATGTGCCGACTCTGCGAAAGGGGTGTTGTTATCACCTGTGTCCCTGTGACTGCACCTCGGGGGGGAAAGGTCTATTTTTATCAGTATCACATTGCTAAGGAAATGTGAGCCGGGAGAAGGAAGAGAGGAGTGGAAGCAACCCCTTCCTTAGAGATGCAGTGTATAGAATAATACTGTAGGTTGACAGCAATATGAGCCAGAACATATACCTCTATTCCTAGAAAAAAAAAAAAAGCACACTGGCTGCTGTCACTGTTACCTACTGTGTTTTTGTATTAGAGCTGCAATGACTTTTTTTTTTTTTTTTAATTATCATATATATATAATCAGAAAAAAGAGAAAACTGCCTATCACAATTTCCAGAAATCCTAGGTTACTTCTTCACCTCTCAACTGACAAATACTCCAAAAGCTAAAGATGGTCAATTCATTGTCACAAGGGTGAAAGAAAAACAGAAAACTTTCATCACAAATAAGAAGCTAAGAAGCTGTAGCTAAATAATGTTTGACGTTTTTAGCCACTGATTATTTTTTGTCAATCGACAAATCAATTAAACTAACCATTTCAGATCCAAGCTGTGTGACATCATAATTTATGGGTAGATAAAAAGCTGTCTTGTTTCTTCAAAAGGAGCCAGAATATGCATGTTGTCCCCCCCCCTCTTGGCACTCTGGTGATATCCGTTTGCTAAATCACCGGTGTGGCCTCTGTTGAAAGGTAAAAAAAAATGTGTGAAGTGTGTAAAATTGCAAAGATGGTTGAATTATGACTCGGCAAGCTGCAGAAGGATTCAACACCTCTGCATTTATACAAGTGTCTCTTGTTGTCATCTTGGAGAGGACGACCGAACAGAAGGCTCAAGTTCTGTAAAACACCACTGAACACATGCTGTTGATATTTTATGTTTTAATGACCTGTTACCTCCAGTATATCTAATCCTGAGTACTATACTTTTTCCTAATGAACCACTAATTCCCAGTGTCTGCCTTATTGTGATATAGTAACGGTCTTGGGCGGGTGAGAAGTTTATTTGCTAATTGTGGGATTATTTTTAGACGGGTCATCTTGAGAATTAGAGCTTCCTGGACTGTCATAACAACAAGTCATCCCCCTCCTACTCGTTCCCTCATTACCAGCCCTGTTGACCTTTCCTCTTGAGCTCATTTTCCAGCCATACTGTGGAGCTATCGATTGGTTGATTCATTTAACAGGGATTAAGGTTTTGCCATGCTTTTCCCCCCCATGTTGTCCTATTACAGTCTTTATAAGGAGAAGATGGTGGAGACTTGAGATAGTGGCATGGAGAACAGACTTAGAGAAGAATTACGAGTTTCAGCGAACATGTACATGTGAAAAAAATTGACATTACTGTTCACTTTAGCTCCTCACTCTCTGACTATCACAATTTAAGAGGATGTTTTACAGAATGGCATTAAATATTCAAAGGCAGGCTGAATGTCTGGAAAATAAACCCCTCAAAGTCAAGAACAAGCGAAAACACTTAATGCATTTCGAACTGCAGCTGTGTATGACAACCATATCACTGTCTGACAGGTTGGACTGTACTGTTCAGTTCCACAATTCATCAAGCATGTGACAGAAGAGCCCGTGGTTGGCGTGACATCTTTCATGAAATGTGAAGCTTTTAGTTGATTTAGCCACTTTCTGGCCTCTTCTATTTAAATGATTTCAGAAGCTGTGGGAGGGTGGAAGGGTGAGCGATGAAGGGATGAATCACAATTAAATCAGAATCAGAATGCAACATCACTAAATATATCAATACTTGGTGAAGAAGAGCAGTCTGATGTAATGGAGATAATAACTCCATCAAGGCAAGAATCACACACACACACACACACACACACACACACACACACACACACACACACACACACACACACACACACACACACACACACACACACACACACACACACTAATAAGAACTAGTGTGGTGGTGATGTGTTTTACATTATGCACCAGGCTGTAGACAGGTGTATGCTACATGCAGTGGGTGGCAAATGAGCTGCTCTACATTTTAATGAATGTTCAGCCTCTGAACTGAGACACTTCGTCGAGGTCAGCTCGTAAACCCTCACAGTGCCAATCTTTTTCCCATTTTGTAAGATTGCCCGTTGACTCCGGTGCCGGTGACTTCCAACTGCTACTTCAGATCTTTGATTTTCCACATTACTGGAGAACGATACAGCTATCTTTTATTGGTCTATTTGCTGGGCCTGATTGTGGGCGTGCTATGTGTGAGGGTTACTGCAGATTACCTTTGATGGCAGGAGTTTACCCCAGGTCATGAAGTCTGATAAGACCAGAATAATCATCAATAATCATAAATAGATAAAATCTTCATTTAATTCACATCTTACAATGTGTTTGTTGCCACTACTGATCCAACTAACAATTTATTCTCATTATTGATTATTTTTTGTTTATTTTCTCAATTAATTGAAAACTTAATCCAAAGAAAAAGTTAATTTCGATTTATTCTGTTCTTTCATTGATATTTTGTTGATATTATTTATCATTCAGGAGCTGGTTTTATAATTGCTGTTTATCTGCTTGTGCATACATGTACAGCACAGTGTGTTTTGCAAAAGCTGTGTGTCAACAGGAAGTGAGCAGCTGACCACATAGTGTCCATCTCTAAGCCAACTTGCCCTTCTGTCTTCCTGTCCCAGGCTGTCCTTGCTAGAAGAGTGGCGCGGTGTTCGTGATGAAGCACTGTCGGAGCTCAGTGGGATTAAGGACTGCATCTTCGTCCATGCTGGAGGCTTTATTGGCGGGAACAAGAACCAGGAAGGAGCCCTGGAGATGGCCCGGAGGACCCTGCAAGCCGCCGCCAAGTCCCCTGCAAATGGAAGCAGCTGAAGGGTCAGAGAGGACAGCGAAGAGCACATTTTGTTTCTCGGGGGTCAGTCTTTAGAGAGGATAGCAAGGATTAAAATGTTAGTTTGCAGCTTGTTCGTCCCAGCCAGGGCTAATGTTGTTTTATTCTTCCTTGCCAGGATGGGGATGGTATGGAAATGGCAGCCAAATAACCTTGGACCAATTCCCTAATTACCTATATTCCAACACAGACTCACTCTGAATCATAATGTTGACTCAATGTTATTCTCTTTCTCTCTACCTGTTCTTCTAAATGTAGGTCTGTTTTGTTGTTCATTTGCAATAAAAGACTATTTGGATTACATTGTGCTCTCATAAACATTTCAGTATTCAGTTAAATCTTGCAATAAAGCAATTGTGTTTCCAATTCTGCTCATATCTCTCTCTTTTTTTAATGTCAAGGGCATATGACAGACAGGCAGTCTGACCGACCAACATCTTCAAAGCCTGTGAATACCACGGTCTTACCTTTTCAAGGGTCGATTTATATAGACACCTGGACAGTGGTTCATCCTTTCATTCCCAGCATGCTGACATTAAATGTAACACTACAAAGAGAGGCAGAGGCTACTTCCGCCTGGCTCCAAGATCAAAGCGTCAATAATGAGGCCTGATTAATTCTGAGAAATTAAATTTTCCAATGCCACAAAGAGGTGCTCCTTATGGCAGCCAGTGTCGTGACAAGGTTACGGGCAGTGGGACGAGCCGCACAGTCAATTTCCCTGTAATAAAGTCAGGGGATGTGCCTTGAATTTTCTCATTAATACTCCAGATTTTCTCCCCCCCTATCTCTACCTGTTCCCTCTTCCCTTATTGCATTCTCCACGAGGCTGCTGCTCATGCCCCAACATAACATATTGCTGTACAATTTCACTGTTGTGCATTTTATTTCCATCAGTGCCAGTGCCACTGTGTAAATGCTGTAGCAGAAAGCAAATAGTTCTTTGTTGTTACTCGCAGCTGTTAACGTTGCTCTGTCGCTTTTCTTTTCTCCTCATTTGTCATTCGTTGTGTTCAGTGGTGCGGACTGTTAATTCTTCAGTGACAAGATCCTTTTATCGTCTTTCTTTGTCATTCTTGGTTTCTGTCTTAATTGAAATGGAGATGCCTTTTATGCTCTGAGTGGATCTTGCTCAGAGACATTTGAAGCCTTTAAGTCTAGTAATTTATTGTAATGGAATCGTCATAATGATGCAGCTCTTTGTGTATCATCTAATCTATATTTAGTCTCAAGTTATTCTTTCCCTTTTAGCTGAGAGTGTATTGGCTATTTTTAATAGCTCTGGAAAGGTATTCTTTCTCTTGCATCTTATTTTCCACACTACCTTTGTCTCACACACACATACACATTTTAGTGTTATTACTCAGCTCTCTGTTGTACTGGATCTCAGCCAAGGTCTCAATCCAATCTATACACATTTGTGACAGCCTTTTACAGTCACGTGGTTCATATTGTAATCTCTGCCAACCAGTGCTGTGTTGTTTTGGGAGATACAGAAGATGACCCTTTCCCCCCGCAAATACCTCACTGAAAGAAGCAGGAGACAGCAGAGGTATATTCACTACAGCAGTCTAATTGCAGACACTTTGAGAGAGAAACATCAAACTGAAAAGGTAAAAACTTGCAATAATAATATGTATTGATTTGAGTTTCCAGCAACCACTTTACCATTGCATGCACAATTTCAGGCTTATTCATGATCAAGTGCACTTGCCTGATTGCTGTGCACAGGAAATCACAAGATGCTCTGACTGTATTTTAAAATTCAAAGCATCCTCAAAAGCCTTTTCCTGAATTTGTGTCTGTTGTGTGTTTTAGTCTATGCTCCGGCTTCCCCTGCAGAATCACACAATCCTGCCAGCATTAAGTCCTTTCCTGCCACCCAAATTACCTACAAAGCAAAATTTTTTAATACTATGTTTTGTCAGCAAGGATCATTTTCCATCTGCGTTGTGGTTTCTAACAACACAGCAACAGACAAAACCTTTGTGTTGGTCCTCGGTCGTAAGCATTTTCAGACTGCTCCAGCCCTGGCAAGTCCCAGTTGGCCACGCAGTGGAAAAATGGCTACTGAGAGTCTCAGCAGAACACCTGCCCCCAGCCTGACCTGTTGTTAGTGGATTCAGTCCCAAGAGAATGACAGGCTAGTTACAAGAAATGCTCCACTGCTTTTGTATCTCTCTTTCCCACTCCATCGGGCGTACTCAATATGCAGCCTGGACATGTATCTTGTGGTTTCAGTCCTCATTTCTTTTCACGACACAGATAATAGACTAAATCATAACCATGCGTGCACTCTCTGTCTTAGAGGAGTAGATTTCTGCCACTGGCTGTCAGATATTTTCCACTGCCTCTATCGGTTTACATATTTATGTATGGTTGAGTCAGTTTTCCACTCGGAGGACAACAACCAAACCAAACGGATGATGCCAAACTGCTTCACTTCACTGAAGTCAGGTTTTCTAGTAGAGTTCACACTGTCAACATTGTCTTCAACAAACTGCTTGTAGGCATGTACATCTTTTAGAATCGCTTCCTCTGAGAACATCCCAGATAGACAGTGCACAACCACCTCCCTCCACTCATTTTTTCCATTTCTGTTTTTCTTTGTTGCAAATTGAACTTCTCACCCATCATCATTCCATTCCCTCTCAGCTCACAGACCTGAAAAAGAGACAATCTGTAATACTTTTTCTCTCTGCCATCATGTGCTTTCTCATTATGCACTCCTTTGTCCCCTGTTTTGTATCTGAAAAACCACAAAACTCAGTCTGTCCACAACCCCATCTCTGGCAACCGCGGGGACAATCACCCGTCAAGGGCAAAGCATTCACAAAAAATCAGCTATAAAGCGGCAAACAAATGCATTACACTTACACACAGCATTCTGTATTTGTCGGGAGTGGAAATGTCATACTTTTCAATTTTTTTTTTTAGCAGTTTGATAGGAGCAGGACAGGCTCGGGTGGCAGAGGAGGGATACGAGGTGCCATCGTGGCTGTCAGACCCATCCTTTCCCCCCTGAGGGCTCTTCTGTAGATCGGCAGACATTCTTGCTGCTTGTGGTGGAAAAGCAAAGAGAGAGAGCAGGGCACTTGTCCTAAGAGTGAACCTCCATGAATAGCATTGTCCACATCATGTGTCACTGTGTGTGTGTGTGTTTGTGTTCTTATTATTTATATGGAAATCTGTGACCCTGTTAAGTGTGTAAGAGGGTCAAGGTTGCCTTTTATCCAGCGTCTCCTTTTTGTGAATGCATACATTTATTTGTATGCAATGTAGAGCTTTTGCCTACTGTGTACATGAATACATGTTCAAATAGGTCTTCACTTTTGACATGATATATGTGATATAATACACGACTTGATGTCAGTGTATTTTGAGGTCTTTACACAGTGATAGATGAGGTCTCTTTCTGCCTGACCTCCGATTCTAAGCCTGGGAGAAAAAAAAAAGACATGAGTGATTGGAGGAGGTGCATCTTCCCTTTAATGTTGTTTTCTTTGGGCTCCATCAGTCAGTAGTTCTGTTTGTCTTATTGTGACAGCTGTGACACATCTTTCTAAGCAGTCTGGCACCTATTGCAAGTTCACAGCTTTGCACGTGACATTTAATATTTCAGGTATAAAAGCTGTGGTTATTTACAGGGTTTCTTTTCTTCTTCTTTTTCTCTAAAAATGCCTTATCACCTGTGAACCTAACCTGTCCGCGATTCAATCAGATTTTGCAGGAAGGGAAGAATGTAAGAATCTAATTATACTTACAGGTTATTAAGTTAATTCCTCCTATAGAGGCAACCAGTGTCTTCTCAGAAACCCGAGAGGCTTGCCATCTCTAGTGCGGACAAGAAGAACTTATGATGGCACACCTCCCATGTTTGTCTTTGTCTCTCTGTCTCTCTCTCTCTCTCACACACACACTCACACACACACACACGCGCGCACACGCACGCACGCGCACAGAGAGAGGAAGAGGGTTTGCCCCACATCTTTGTTGCTATAACTACCCTCTGTTACGGCAGTCGGTGATGAAGCCGTCTGCAGGCGACAAACCACGGATCCACTACTGATGCCCTTCACATAGTTTCCCCTCAAATTTAGCTACACTGAAGAAGAAGATGATAAAGATGATGTCCTCTCTGCCGTCGGGAAAAATCCGAAGAAAAACTACAAACGGATTTTAACAAAACATTTATCCACCTTCTGGATCTCAAACTTTAAAAGAAATCATTTTACAGGTAAGTCCGCAGGCTGTGTAAAATCGGTATTCTATATATCCTCATTATTATAATGTGTTTGGGTATATTAATCAATGGTCATATTGTTGTTGTAGTCGTGGGTTCCTCTTTAATTTGCATCAACTTTTTTAATAGTAGCCGAAAGGGGCAAAAGCTTTCTTAAAAGCCGTTGCAAACTTCATTTTTATGATTCAAAAGTTGCAAAAACGACGCATAAAATAGCCACATTAGTCTGCTTGCATAAACCTTAAAGCTGTTTTACCTTCGGATCGTCCAGTTGACCCGTTTCACCCAGGTTAATGTAATTTATAGTCTAAATGAAATTTCCTCAGAAATGTTCAGTGCAGGTTAATCTGATAAAATCAAGGTATGATCCTGTAGATGAACTCAGATAGCAGGGAGTCTCAGTAATATTTTCTAATTAAAGTTGTCCTTTACTTTGAGAAATGGGGACGGATATTAAAAATATCTAATTGGAAACTGCATCAGCTGTAAGCAGCAGTGCCACCTCTCTCCATCCCTGTCTTTTAAGCTTTCACATCCCCATTCATAATTATGCAGCAGATGATTGTTTTTGTTAATTGGGGATTTGCATGCATCTACAATTCCGTATTTTAATAACAGGGCGCTTAATGAGTGGTGAACTAAATCCTCACCTCTGCTCATGAGAGACAGAGGCCACTTGATGGGCATCACTGGGCTGTCAGTCAGTCAGCCAGTCACCTTTAGGCTTATCAACCAAATCTAGGCCAATGTTAGTCAGGGGTTGAAGCCTTTAGAGTATGCTGTCTGTCTGTGCAGGAGGATAGAGACAGTTTTGATTTTCTTATAAAGATAAGGAGAAAGCAGAAAGTGCTTGACATTTAAGGGGATGGTCTAATCAAATTCAAGGAGTGTATTGTGATTTCTGCCTCGGAACAGGGACATCATTCATACTGTACAACGATGTTCTAAAACCACCTGATTAGATTATGTGAACAAACTGAAATGACACCATTTACAGACCCACATAGATAAAAAGTCAGACAGACAGGCAGATGAGGCTGAGCGGCTCTAAAATAGCTTAACACAAATAACACATGTAATGTATTCTCCAGTGGTTTTGCCCATGGGATGCAGAGTTTAGCCAGATTTCTTTTCTTTTTTTTTTAAACTTTTGCCTCCTAGTGAGCAGATGCTAACACTCAGACTACAGCTGGGTTATTTTTTCCAGCTCTGTCACTTATTGACACCGTGGGACACAAGACAGGATTTATGTTCTTCCCGTTAATAGTGTAGCAGGCAATACTTGGGCTATCGATTCCCGCCCCCCTTTCTAACCTCCATCCCTACAATGCACCCCCCCCCCATCTCCTCCCTCTATGGATTATGATTAAGGGGCTATGGCATCATGGGAAAATAAATAGAGGGATAAATTAGATCATGTATTGATGATAAAATGTGATACTTTTCTTCTGGTCTTGAATTTTGAGCCGCATGAAGGACACAGCAGGAAAAGGGGAGGGAGGATTTCACATAGTCGTGTATAATGATTAATGTCCTTTTAATGCAGACGTACAAGAGTCGTTTCAACCTCATCACTTAAATCATCGTTACTGCTATAAATAACAAGGGATGTTTTTCTTGCACAGAAATTGTTGTCCTGTGCATTACAGTGTCTCTCCGTGCAATATTTATCAGATAAACCAGCTTAAGCTCATTTCATTGTCGATCTCTCTACCCACTGACCCTTTTCTCCTCCTAAACATCATAATCTCCCCTGGCAGTGTTCATAGTGATTGCATTTGTTTGAAGGGTTTGTAAAGAGAGAGACGGACAGAAGGAGAGTCATCTTTTCCAGACTGACCCTTTTTTCCTCAATCTGTCAGATTCTCCTGCTGCGACGGTGTGTGGCGTCTGATTGGGACCTGGTGTGCGTCAGGAGGCTATGGTGAGGCGATGTGCACAGGCTGGTGTGAGGAGAGATGTACCAGCAGCAGTGGAGGAAGAAGGAGAGGTAAAGGAGTGCATCTTCGTTCATGGCTGTGCATCTCGCTCTTGTTCACAGCCCTGTGGGGCCAAACGTCCCCCCAGTGCCCGGACAGTTGCCACTGCGCCTGGGACACGGCCACGGTGCTGTGCTCAGACGCCGGGCTGCGGGAGATCCCAGAGGGGATCCCACTGGAAACGGTGTCCCTCCACCTGGAACGCAACTACATCCGTAACATCCCTGAGAGTGCCTTCCGTGACCTGGTCCATCTGCGTGACCTCTACCTGTCGCACAACCGCATTGACTCCCTCGCCTCTGGGGCTCTTCGACATCTGGGCCCCGAGCTGCGCCTGCTGGACCTCTCACATAACCAGCTGAGACAGGCCAGCAGGGAGGAGTTTGGCTCCACTCGTGCAAAGACACGCCTCTACCACAACCCCTGGCACTGTGACTGCGCCCTTCAGGAGCTCATGGAGACTCTGAACCTGGAGCCTGAGACGGTGAATGGGATCATCTGTGAGAGCTCTGTTCGGGGGGTGGGTGAAGGGAGCAGGTGGGAGGACCCGGGGTCGCTGGGCGAGCACGCAGGTCAACCGCTGGTCAAACTGTTGGATTCTGGGGTGAATTTTTGCAGCCTGCAGAGGAAAACCACTGATGTAGCCATGCTGGTGACAATGTTTGTGTGGTTCTTTATGGTCATCGTGTATGTAGTGTACTATGTAAGACAGAACCAAGCCGAAGCCCGTAGGCATTTGGAGTACCTGAAGAGTTTGCCCAGCCCGCGCAAGACCCCCACAGAGACAGACACTCTAAGCACAGGTTTCTGAGCTCCGGCTCGGCTGTAATTTAAATGGAATAATAATAATAGTAATAAAATCCCATTTTTATGGAGAGTGACTGATAAACTCTGTAAGCTGCCTGTGGAAGATGCTGATAAAGAGGAAATTATCCTTTTACAGCTGTGTTTTGTGATTGCAACATTTCTTTATATTTGTTACTACTGAGCCCCCCGATGTTTTTCTTGATATTTCTTTACCTCAATTTAATGAAAAATGAGAAGTGAGTGTTTGTTAATGTTTACTCATTCTACAATGTGCATTGAGAGAAAAGAGTGGAAACGGAAAAACAAAAAGCAGCAGATGGAAGATGAAAGGATGAAATAGGAAAAGAAAGGAACTTCTTTGAACTTTATAACCTTCTAACTCCCTCTGTTGTCCCTCTTTCCTTTTCTTTTCTTCTCTCGCCGTGGTCTTCTATCTTTCATTAAGCCCTAATTAGCAGTCTTTAACCAACTGACCCTTAATGAACACTTGAAAGGCACTAATCAACAGGAGTGTGTTCATCAGGTCAAAAAGGAGAATGTGCAAACTCAAATGTGTGTCCCCATCTAATTGCTTGTTTCATTTGTGTGTGTGTGTGTGTGTGTGTGTGTGTGTGTGTGTGTGTGTGTGTGTGTGTGTGTGTGTGTGTGTGTGCATTGTTACGGCCATTTTTACTCCGATAACATTGATTTTGCACGGATGCTATTTAAGCCTTTCCCAATACATAACCACTAAGCCAGTTGTTTCGGTGCCAGTGGAGAACTGCTGATCTAAATTTACTCTCAGGAAGCCATTAGAGCTGGAGGTAAACTATTTTGTCTCCATGCTCCACCAATCAGCTCTAAAATATCTGGGCAGCTTAGTGTACATATAGTTGTCACTGATTGGTACAGAGAAAATTCAGCCAGATTTAGAAGTGGATTATTGTTAAAATTTAGTATAACCATTTATCCTGAGGGACGCTTTTAGTTTGGCTTTAATTAATCTCTTGAGTCCTGCTTTTTAGTCCTCTCTGCACTGATTGCTGTGTACAAATCGTTCTGTCTCCCATTTTCCACATAGGCTGTATCATAATTGATTTTTTTTCGAGCCACTGTAAAAATAAGCAAAACACTTTGATAATAAATTGAATAATTTTCTCTTTTCATTTAATGAATGAAATGTTAAGATTAATGCCATTCCTGACGTGTATGCTGTAGATGCACTGAATATCTGGCTCAGTGTTCTGCATAAATGGAACAAAACCTGACTGGATTAACAGCCACATTTTCTAATTTCACTTGAGTTCATTGTAATCATATTTATTGTGGCAATACCTGCGGAGCATTATCCTCTGAGCGGAGTGTGCATCCTGTGGTTAATGTATAAGTACTTGTCATTCTTCACTGTTACAAATACAAACAGTTTAAGGCCTCTCTCAGTCTGATTGTCAGAAACATTTAATGTGTCTTTAGATCAGTGGTTCCCAACCTGGGTGGAAGGTCCCCAACAAGAACAAGAAATTAGATGTAAGCGGTCACAAGATTACTGACAAGATATTAAAGCAGGAAAAAATACACTACACAAAATTAGGTTCAGTTTTTTCAGACTTTTCCCTTAACGTTTTGTTGTTACATATAATTGGATAATAAGGGCCAGAAGCAGCCATTGCTTTGTTTTAAGGGGTCACAAACCAAATAGGTTGGGAACCACTGATTTAAGAGGATGTTTTTGGCCATGCTAGCAGCATAGCTCTATGGAAATGTTGATCTGTTGATCTGTTGATCTGTTGGTCAAGAGCTATTGGATGGATTATGATCAAATTTGGTACAGAAGTTAATGTACGTTTGTGATCCCATAATTTTAATTTACGCTTTGGTTTAGGACTAAATGCCTGCAAAACTAATGACATTCCCATAAGCAACTATTGCTAATTAGCCAATTTTAGCATGCTAAACATCAGCATGTTAGCATTGTCCTTGTCAGCATGTTAACATACTGACGTTAACATATAGCTCTAAGAACCGCTGTGCCTAAGTACAGCCTCAGAGCTGCTAGCATGGCTGTAGACTCTTATTCTTGCGTCTTTAATCTGTGATGGTTTACAGTGTACAGTTGCAACCCCTCTACGTGTTCATAGATGTAATAAAACGTCAATGTACCCCATTTTATCTAACAATTGGGTTGGAAAAGTGGAAAAAACTGAGGCAAAACCTAGAATAGGAACTAACTTTCTGTGTACTGTAATGTGCTAAATGTGGTGTGTGTGTTCGTAATTTACAGAGAAGGACCGGTTGAACTTTGTGCTGTTCAGGTGGAAGACATACTGTGAATTAGAATTAAACTTGAGTGGAAACATATTGATATTGTTATGATAACTGGTCCATGTAAAAACCTGGTCTTAGTTGGTAGACCACAGGCCAAAACATCTGAATAAGAAGTTGGATATTTGTTCTGTGAGTTACAAAAGAAAACTGTATGTGGATACATACATACATTGTGAAGCACTGTTGGTGTAAATTTACATACTCAGAATGTTTCCTGAATGTTACCCGCCTGTCACAAATCATACATCTAATGTTGATGTGCCAGAGTTTCCCAAATACATCTCCACCATTAGTACAATCATTAACCCCCCCCCTTTTTTACAAAACTCAAGAACCAAGCATGCCTTCTGTGTGCAGTTGTTTCTGTAGGTATTTTTTAATGGTGATGTATTTCTGTCCCAGTGATTTGTTTTTCTCTCTTGTTTGTATGTCGATAAATATTCAAACAAGGTTAAAGTCATGATCGGAAACCATTACATGAAATAATAAATGATCTATCAAAAATGATTTTAGGGGGAAAAAAAAGAAACAAATGTAAAAAAGAAAAGAAACGTTGCTCTACTTTGTTTATATAAATGCTTCTACCTTTTATTGCTACTGTAGGTGGAAAAAAGGCAAGAAGATGAAGAGAAGTAATAGAAGTACAGGAAAACATTATTAATTCACAGAATGAGCTAATCATGCTTGGCAGTGTTTCCTATTTCTACTCTACCATGCATTAAAACTAAAAGAAAAATGAATGAAAAACTATTTTACATATATTTTAAAAAGTACATGAAATGAACTGTCACCACCTCCTTCTTCAACTTTTTCATTGTTTTTTTCAAACAAAACTCAATCAAACAAAATCCAAATGACCCCGCATTCATCCATCTCTTCGCTGCCTTTTCTTGAAATCTGAGGTGTTTCTCCCCCTGGAAATATGTCACCACAAAAACACACAGTGGAAGTGGGGCACAGTGAAATGTTTAGGTGTGGCTTTTTGTAAAGAATTTCCTTGGGGATGAGAAAAAAACCGTTGCCTCAGATATTTCCACACGGGGGAGAACGAAACATGATATAAATAAAAAGCAACTTCAGCCTGTTACTTGGTTTTGTCTTTTATTTCCAATTTACATTAATTAAAACGTAACAAAAACAAGTCATGATCATAATAATATAATAATGCTATTATTATTAATAATAATACTATTATTAATAATAAAAAATATACACAACCTCACACAAATGAGCCCTCTGCGCTGGCTGTAGAACTGGAGCAACAAAGTCAAACACACCCTGAATCTCTTCAACCGTGTGTGTGTGTATGTGTGTGTGTGTGTGTATGTGTGTATGTGACTGTGTACGCCGAGGCAGAGGGCACGCCCTGTGTGAGGGGACTGATGGGATGACGTAGAGAGGGATGGGGGTCAAAGGTCACAGCAATTGGGGGGCAGCAGACTGGGCTCTTTTATGACCAAGCTTCTCAAAAATATTGGTCATTAACCTAAAATACAGAGTTTTGTATAAAAAAATTCAGGGGGAAGGCCTTAGTTTGATTTGTGAAGTTTTTTTTTGTGTGAGGTAGCTTTAAAATATCAAAACAAAACTAAAAAGAAAATTAAATTCAGTATTAACTCCAAATTAGACATGCCTCGACTGTAAAATCTCATCATGGGCACGTTGGTTTACATATGGGGGTTGAAGCAGGAGGGTGGGCTGAGGCAGAGACATTTATCACACTGAAATCCAAAATCCCAGGGTGAAATGCTCTCTCTGAGAAACTGTATATATATGTATACACACATATACATATATATACATATATACAAGTCACTACATATTAGTATCTGGTTGTTAAAAAATACAGACTGTTTTACAACAATAGCACCATTGACTTTTATTATAATACACAGTAACTTTTTGATACACACTGTGGTGGTAGAAATAGGAACACCTGCGCTTTCTACGTATCTAGATTTTTGGTTTCAAAGAGATATGTATGCTTTAGTGGATATGGTACAGGAGTGATGGGGTGATTAGAAAAGAGGAGGAAGTAGGAGAGGAAGTTGGTGGATAAGGTTTTCTTTTAAATATGTGTAAGTGGGCTTTTTATTACTTAGCAACAAACTCAGTCCTACCACACCTGGGACCCAAACCTAAACAATAAATAAATAACACCAACACATTTTTCTCTCTCTAGTTCCCTGGTATGTTCCCGTACTCTCCTCATACTTCCTCCTTCTTGTTCATAGGGCTCGGTAGGTGGGGTAGGGGTTCACCCAGGGTGAATTGGGGCTTTTGGGGAAGGCTGGGTGTCCATAAGGGGGGGGAGTTAACAGGAGGCAATGCTGGATGAATCACAGATGACAATTGCTGGTGCCATTCAGTGCAGATATCCTACGGAGTTCGACTTGGAAAAAGCACTTTTTACTTAGAAAAAAAGTCCCATTTAAAAAAAGTGTCTTGATTTTTCTTTTTCACTCTTTCTCTCCTCCTTTATCTGAAGTGTGCTCTTCTTTCTTTTTATTTTTCTCAAATTTCCACTTCTTTCTTTCTCTTCTTTTCGATCCCTCGTTCTTTACAAGAAGCAGACTGCCCCAACTTCGACTCCAAACTCCTGGTCTGCTCCACCAATATCCATGGGGGCAATGTCCACGATGGGCAGACGAGAGGTCTTCTGCGATCTGTATTCAATCACTGTCTTGCCCCACTGTCCCGTGTGTTTCTGTGCAGAGAGAAAAAAAACCACAACAGCTGTTAAATGACGTATGACTTTCTCTAAAATTGCATAAAATGGGATTGGGTGAGTTGAGTGAACACCAGAGAGTAAGAGAGACAGACATCTATCATAGAGCCAAAATGAATCGTGTACCAATTTTAATAGTCTAGTTTAATCATATTATGTTCTGATGTACCCCAATTAAGAAGATGCATATATATTTAAGTATTATGTGTAATGTACACGCATATCAAATCTTTCCAGTCTTACCGTGCAGCCATCCTCCATCACGCTGTAAGTGAAGCGGCTGTTGCCCTCGGCTCTGATCTCCACGTCGTTGGAGCCCTGCAGCAGCACGGCCTTCTTCAGGTTGCCTGTTGAGGCGTCCATGTAGGCCACGCTGTTCTTACAGTGGTAGGTGAGGTTTTGAGAAGCCTCGGTGGACAGAAGCCTCAGGAAAGTCATCTGAATGGCAGCAGTGTTGGGTGCCAGGCTGTCATCACCATAGCTGAACTGCATTGGGCCGCAGGTAAGGAAGAGGAAGTGAGAATAACAGTTAATATCTCTGTTATTATTTTTTGGGATTATTTGAACTGTTACGCATTTCTAATGATGAGCAAGTTCATCGTTTGGTTTTTTGTGCTAAATTTTTTTTCATGAATCAGATTTTCACCTCTATTTTTGTTTGTTTTAAAAGAAAATCCAGTTTCACAGTCCATCCATTATCTACACCCACTTATCATGGGCAGGGTCATGGTGGCTAGAGATGATCCCAGCAGCGTGTGAGTGGCCATTGGCTAATAATAAAAATTAATACATTAAATCATGGTGCCACTTACGTGGAATCCTCCATTCATTGTCTCTCCGAACCAGATGTGCTTGCGGTCCTTGCTCTTGCTGGACCACCAGTTCTTGCGAGGGATGCTAGAAGGCTTGGGGAGGACGCAGGACTCTCCAGTCTCCATGTTGCAGAAGACCTTGATAGCATCAATGGTGCAGCCCTGGTTGGGATCAATCCAGTACTCTCCTGCAGGGAAAAAAAACACACATCAGGCTTTTTTTTTGCATATTTTACTTCCCCTTGGCTGCATAAAAAACCTCATAATCATTGGAAATAATAATGTTATGGAATATTGTGTAATTCTGACATCTAAAAAACTGATTCTGGATCAACCACATCCAAACTCTCCTAGACTACACACACTGTGTTTAACCTAAATGTTGAGCTGCCAACGTAAAATGTCACCCAAGTTATCTATCATCTCACCCCAATTTAACCAATTCCTCCCAGTGTCACTCACCACTCTTCCAGTCAGGATGGCAGAGCTTCAGGTCCCTGCAGGTACGAGCTGGGTTCTTCTTAGATCCCTCGGGGCTGCGGATGTTCTCAATCTGATTGTTGAGAGACTTGAGTGTGGCGTCGACCTCGGCATCATGCTGACGAAGGTTTCCGGAAGCCTGGTCGGCTCTCATGTACCTGAGAGGATCAGGGCCCTTTTCAGTCTGACCCAGACCAGCGAAGGCAGACATGTCAATGCCAGGGCCAGGGGGTCCTGGAGGACCTGGGGGTCCGGCGTTTCCAGGTGGACCCTGAGAGGAAAAGAAGGAAGATGGAATGGTTATATTTAGCACTAGACAACATTTAGACATTTCTGTTTTCTTTGTCTAGTCATTGCTCCACTCCATACTTTTCTTTCTCACAAATAGTGGATTATTCTTTCTTCTCCCTCGTCATCTCTCACAATGGGTGCAGGAAATGCTGCCATCTGTCCTGCAATCTGTTCTCTCGTCTCATTTCAATTTTCTTGTCTCGGACTTCACTCTTAGTTTCAACAATACAGGCGTCCCAAACAAGCTGAAGTGATGCCAACTGGAGTCCTTGCTACATCTTATGTAATTGTTTTAAAACCCCTTTTTAATTTTACCTTTAACCCTTTAACCTCTTTATTTGTTTTATAATTTGATCCATTTATTTATGGAGCAAGTCTTAAATGCAAAAGTATTATGAACCATTTTAAATGGGAAATGAACATCTGACCACTGCTCTTAAAAAGCTTGTATGATATTGTTGTGATTCTTAAGTTTTGAGGGTTTGTATGTAAACTGAATCTGATTGTTTTCAGTGTCTTTGCCAATGTGGTGCCAGTGTGACATAAGGAGAATGAATAAATGCCTTAGATGACTGAACTGTGAAAGAGTTCAATTCATACCCAGCAACAGAACGACTTACACCTCATGATGTCATTATATGGTATGACTGTTTTACGTAGTCAGTCTTTTGCTATTTCTTGGACTCTCAACAGAGGAAGATCAATGTAACAGGAAGAGAAACTGCTTGTGGGTACTCACAGAGGGACCGGTCTCTCCACTGCGACCACGGGGTCCGGGGGGTCCAATGGGTCCTGGCAGACCGTTTCCACCATCCTTTCCAGCGGGGCCAACAGGTCCAGGTGGTCCCTATACACACACAGATGGAGGAAGATCTTTAATGTCAAGCACCAAAGGCACTGCATGTGAAGAAACATATTTTATTAGTCTTTGAATTAAAAGTGATATTAAAAAAAGTATTTTTGTAGCATTAGCACTTACTCTTTGTCCAGAGGGTCCAGCAGGTCCAGTAGCACCCTGGTCTCCAGCTTGACCCTAAAACACATAATGATTACATTCATACATCAGGGTTTCTGCAGGGTCAAGTTAAATTTAAGACTTTTTAAATTCCACATTAAAACACAGATGTTTCACGGTCATATCAGTCATACCAGTAGGGACAATATTATTATCAGTACTTTCCAAAAGTAATTTCTAATGATATAAATAATAACCAGGATCTGGATTAGTGGTATAAAAGTAAATCTGGATGCTCACCGGAGGTCCGGGCAGACCCTGCAGACCAGTAAATCCTCTGTGTCCCTTCTGTCCTCTCTCACCGGCCTCTCCAGCCTCACCCTTGTCACCACGGGGTCCTTGAGGTCCCTAAAACAGGTGGACAACAACCTAGTTAGGAAAATGTTCACTAAACTTCACCAAACAATTTAAGCAATTCTGTCTTAGAAAAGACAGACTGACTGACTTTCAAGGCTTCATTTTCCCTTTGCAATTGATACACCAATTCAGTTTTCACTTTTGTTTGTGCACTGAGAATGCAGGTGTGTATGTTACTGTTTAGAAAGACACATACAGGCATTCCTCTGGCTCCAGCAGGTCCTGAAGGTCCAGCAGGTCCTTGTGCACCCTGTGAAAGAAAAACAAAAGATGGTCATGTTAGTCACAGTAGAAACATTAAACTGCCACATAATCAAATAATGTTGAAATAGAAGAAAATCTCTGCTGAAATACACTGAATAGATTCAATGTAAATGAGAAAAGTAATCATAGAGGTTATT